TCATATTGCTTCCCAAATTCCTTCACCAAACCATGTCGGATTAAACCATGCCACTTATGAGGTTTGCTCTACAGCTTCTAATGCCTGCACTAGATGCTAACATGTGGCATCTAACATAGGCCAGAGTCAGGCCCACTGCCACCACAGCAAAGACAACTTTTAATTTTTTGATTTTTTTTTTTGCCTCCCTTGGGTTCTTTAACTACCCTTGCTACTTTTCCTAGTGAGCTTTTTGCTTTTGTTCAAGCTGCCTTCGTTCATGCTGTTTCTAGCCTGTAATGAAATGCTTTTGCAAACCTCAAAGACCACCATTATCCCATTTATACTTCAAGGCTCATTTCAAATATCACACCTTTATTCAACCAGTCAACAATCATCTGTTGAGTCACTACTGTGTACCATTCATTTGTTCAGCAATTTTCTTGTATCCACATGCAGAGGATACAACCGTGAACAAAACTGATAAAAATGCAATCCTCTGTTAGACCTTAATACTTCAGTGAGTGGAGTGGGGTGGTAAAACCCACAACAGAACAGGTTCAAGCACACAAAAATCCAGAGCCAAAACCAAAATCAAGTATGTAAACAAGAAAATGTTAGAGAACTGTTAAGCCAAGAAACAGAATAGACAATGACTGGATGACTGGCTATTTTCATTTAGAATTGCCTCCCTGAGGAGGTTAAATCTGTATTGAGATTTAAGTAACAAGAAGGGACTAACCATTCAGAGTGTGTGTGTGTGTGTGTGTGTGTGTGTGTGTGTGTGTGTGTGTGTGCGTGTGTGCAAGCATGCTCAGTGGGGAGAAACCATACCACTTTGTTTATGCCAAAGCAACTGAAGTACCAGGCCAATGAGAGAGCAGTAGCAGATAAAGTTGGAGCCAGCTCAGGTATGCTTTACAAGCTGAAGTAAAGAGTTGAAATTTGATTCCAAGGACAGTGATAGAAAAAAAAAAGCCCTTTGAGGCTTTTAGAAGGTAAGAAAGTGACATGCTAAGGAATGTGTTTGAAGCTTATGATGAAATGATATTTGGTCAACAGACTGAAGGGATTGTAGGAGCAGAGAGAGACTTTGGGTAGTGCTCTTCTCCTTAAACTACTTGCCCAGTTTTGAGATAGCAAAAAGTACAAGTTCCCCTTACTTTTAGTTAAATGGAGGCGATTTTTATTTATCACTTTAGAAGGTCTGGAAAAACTGACCCCTTTCTGGCATCCTACACTCTTCTTTGCCTCCAGTAGGTTTTCCACCTCCTCAAACACACCCTCTCCTCAGGTGGCAGGACCTTTGGACTTGCTGTGGTTACATATTATTTCTGTATATGGTAATGTAAACACAACATAAACTTTACCACATTACCCATTCTAAAGTAAAATTTCAGATAGCTTACATGAATGGAATAATTAAATCTTTGGCCTTTGTGTCTGGTTTCTTTTAGCATAAAAAAATGTTTTCAAGGTTTACCCACATTGTCAAACATAATAGGTTATTTATTCCTCTTTATGTGAACAACATTCCATTGCATACATACGCTATATTTTGTTTATCCATTCCTGATCTGATGAAACACTTGGGCTATTGTGAATAGTGCTATCATGAACATGCATAGGCAACTGTATTTAAATGCCTGTTTTCAACTCTTTTTTTATATATACGTAAGGGAGAGTCATATTGTCTGTGGCTGGCAACAGAAAGCATGGCAAACTGGATGTCTTTTTAAAATATTATTTTATTTTTGATTATGTGTATGTGTGTGAGTATATGACTGTGAGTCTAGGTGACCATGGGGTCCAGAATACCATGGAGCTAGAAATGTAGTCATGAACTACCCAATGTGGGTACTGGGAACTGAACTCCCTTCCTCTGCCAGAACAGTAGGCACTCTCAACCACTTAGCCATATTTCCAGTTTCCAAACTGGATACCTTAAAGCAATAGAAATATTTTCTCTCACGGGTTTGAAGGCTAGGACCACGAGATCAAATTGTCAGAAGAGCTTGCTTTTGCTGATAACCCTGCAATGAATCCTTCCCATCCTCCTTATAGCTTCTGTAGATGACCATTGATTCTCGATGCTCTTTGGCTAGAAGTTACATTACTCTGATGATGGCTTCTGCAGAACTGAGCAGAGTCTGGTGCAATGATTGAGGCAGCAAAGATGACAGAATGATATGAAGATGCAGTGGCCAAGCTTATCATCCCACTCCCATGGGATATCTGTAGGCTCTTTTAAGAAATCCATTTTTAGCAAAGGCAGTCTTTAAGTATTTGTGGATTAACCTAGCCAACTGTTATAATCCACATGCCAGCTGTGTTGTCTCCAACAAGACAGTGGACGCCTTTTTAAAAAAGATTTATTATGTATACAATGTTCTGCCTGCATGTATGCCTGCATGCCAGAAGAGGGGATTAGATTATGTTATAGATGGTTGTGAGCCATCATGTGGTTGCTGGGAATTGAATTCAGAACCTCTGGAAGAGCAGTCAGTGCTCTCAACCTCTGAGCCATCTTTGCATCCCCCAGTGAAGCTTTTATATTTAAAAAATGTATTCAACCTCTGAAATCTGTATTATTTAAATCAACTAGGAACAAATGAGGCCAGAGGGCTTAGTTAGATTTGTCTTCAGTGACAATTCCTTTTTATCTTTTTTTTTATTTGTTTTGCTCAGAGCACACTCCTTTTTAAGTTGGTTCAGTCTTTTCTATGTTTTAATTAATTATTTTATTGATTACATTTTATTCATTTTGTATCCCAGCTGTAGCTCCTCCCTCAACCCCTCCTAATTGCACCTTTTCTTCCTCTTCTCCTCCCATGCCTTTCCCCCAGTCCTCCTCCCCTTCCATCTGACCCTAGCTTATCAGATCTCATCAGGACTGGCTGCAATGTTTTCCTCTGTGTCCTGGTAGGGCTGTCTTAAGGGGCTTCTACTCTGTAAACATTCTGGCCTTCTGGCCTCTGACAAAACAAAGCTGTTGAAAAAGTAGAAGGAAAAAAGCAGGAAAGAATTCAAGTTAAGTTAAGGGTCCAGAGGCTATTTGCCTTTTTTTTTTTTTTTTTTTTTTTTTAGGCAGTGGTTCCTATCTGTTTCATGAATACCAACTTGTCCTCCTTTGGGTAAGACTTTTCTGGATTTAGCAATGCAACTTGAAGATGCAAGCAAATTCCTCAGATTTGTTTTTCTTTAAAAACCCAAATCACAGATCACATTTTGTTCAGAAGGCTGGTTACAAAATATTTTAATTTACTTATTACTGACGTTACTTGAGACATGTATAAGTACAGTTAAATAGTTTATTTGGGGTAGAATAATCCAAGTTTTCAAGAAATTAGGCTTAATTAGATATTCCAAAATAAAGCTCCATACTGAAATGATTAGTTGGTTTAAGCTGATGTCTTTCATCAATAAATATCGTTCAGTCTATATAAAGTCATCTAATTATCCTTGAGGAGATGTTAGGATTTTTTACTTTACAGAATCAGTTATACATGGCGAAGGTATTTTTCCACTACAAGCTTGAAGTCTTTAGAAGCCTCTCTTTGTTCCTCCAGAAAGTTGTCTGCAACCTCTAGTAGTCGGAACAATGGCTGTCCACTCTTGCGTAGCATTAGAACCGCCTGAAGAGCTTTAAAAACTCTGAGCCTTCAATTCATACAAAATAATTCAGGCTGGCTAGGACTGGGCACAGACATTCACATTTCTTTTAAGCCCTGCAGGCAGTACAAATGAGCATCAATTATTGAGAGCTGCTGCAAACTCGCCCTTTCTTTCCCTTGTACTGTTAATGATTATCCATTTTCTTGACCAGGTCTTCTTCTTTCTCATATTTGTTTCTTGTTTGTGCAATGACCTTACTGACCTGCAGCCATGTGCAGTGTGTTGCAGGTAATAATTATCCCAGCTACAACTGATCTTGAAAGGCTTTCTCAAGCTTTATTGACTCTATTATTTTATTCTTTCACAGAATGTATATCTAACAATGTCCACATGGAGTTAGCCTGAGGTGGTGGTGCTTTCTCCTGTACTTTCTTTGAGGAGTAAGACTACATCTCTGGTAGAATCCATACGATGTGTTTGTCTTTGAATTAGCCATGAGAAATCTAGGTAGAGCATGTATGATTTTACATTGTGATAGAATTCACATGCACAAGTTTTCACACGAACTTGTGTCTCCATTTCTCTCGGGTAGCTATCTAGGTGTGGAATTCTTATCGGTGAGTCTACATTCACCTTTTGGAGGAAATACCAAGTTGTTTTCTTTTTTGCTTCCTTGCACAAAGGAAGTGTAATTGTCAGTGCTCGTCAGGTAAGGCAAATGATTCTCTGGTAGTTTAGAGGATTTTTGCTGTAATTGTTATCTGAACGTCTTATATGTAGGAAGAATGTAGCTACAACTTGTGAGTCACTTTTTGTTGTTTCCAAATGTGAGGAAATCTAAAACTGTTAGTTTCAAATGGGGCCTATAAACAACTGTGAAGTAACAAGGATATGGGGGTCTCTGGGCTCCCAGGTTCTTCACTCTGCTTCCAGTCTCTCTGGATGTCAGTCTGTTCTAAGCACACACAAGGTGTGCTTACTGTCAAGGACCCGATTCCTGGTAATCTAAATGCAGAAGCACACTACACAATCCTTAGGTAGCCAGGTGCAGGCCCTGCTTCATACACCACCATCGAAATCTTAATGCTGGGATGGTCTGAGGAAGGTTGCCCTGACCTCTAGGTTTTCAGGTTCCCTCTGTCCACCTACCACTACAGCCTTTACCTCAGACGGGGGTCTGTACCTGTACCGGATTGCAGGCTTGGGCGGCATTCCCAGCTTGCAAACAGTCGCTAGCCAGCCTGGTTCTTCAGCCCAGGCCTCAGCAGGGCACGCGCTAATGCACGCGCGTAGCTCAGCCTGAGCGCGCACGGGAAGCTCCGGAAGCACGCGCCCCCCCTTCCCAACCCCCCGCGGCCCCGCCTCCTGAGGCCCCGCCTCCTCCCCCTCCCTCGCGCCCGCCCGCCGCCCGCCGCCCGCCGCCACTGCAGCCGCCAGAGCTCTGTAGTATGGCATCGAGGAGAATGGAGACCAAACCTGTGATAACCTGTCTCAAAACCCTCCTCATCATCTACTCCTTCGTCTTCTGGGTGAGTGCCCACGCCGGGCTGCTGGCCGGGCCACGGTCCATCAGCCCGTGTTGTGATGCTCTTAGAAAGAAAGGTGGAAGGAAAACCGAAATCCCAAACCCGATCTTAGCCAGTGGATAAGGAGACAGGCGCTGGCGCTGGCGCTGGGTCGGGGCTGCGGGATGGTAGGGTGCAGGTCTGGGCTGCTCCATTTCTCGATTTTGCCCAACGAAAGCTGTAGTGGGCTGCGTGGTGGCGGGGGTTGCAGATTTTTCAACCCTCCCTCCCCCTCAATTTTTTTTTTTTAATGCATTGAATTTTTTTAAGCTCCCAGGACAGGGTCAGCCTCTGGGGAAAGTTGAGTTGCAGATTTGCCTGTTTTCTCCTCTGGACTTCTCTCCCTACCTTACCAACCAATTTTAGGTGCCTGTTGGAGCTAACCTGTGGCGGGCTGGGAGCGAGCGCAGGACATCTGGGTTTGATTCCAGATTGCGACTTAGCCCCGACGCTGCGGGGCTGTGGGAGAGAGTCACTGGGAGCCGGCAGCTTCCCTGGACAAGGGCGATCAGTCTCGCAAGCGCACTAATGCGGTACAGGTGCCGCCACCGCGTGGAGGCGCACGGAGAGGGTCTTACATAAGCCAGGGTATCTTTGAGCTTACTCAGCGACAGGGTCTTATGACCCCTTTTCTGGCTCCCTTCCACCTTTTACTATTTCCATCTGGACATTGTGTTTTTCTGCGTGAACCCAATCTTCAGTGCCCAAGGGGAGGACCCCCACCACTGGTGGCTGCAGTAGCGCCCCTGTTCCCCACCTAACTGGTACTGCTACCAGTCCTCGAGCTCAATGCAGAAAGGTGACGTCAGCCCTTCAGCCCCGACCCGCGAAGGGCTGCCTGGTGCACCTCGAGAGGGATGTGCCCTTCTGTGCGCAGGAGGAGGGAAAAAAAGGGGAGGAGGGGGCTCTGGGCTTCTGCCTTACCTCATCCTGTTTGGCAATTCATGGAATCAGTGCAGGGTTGACACTGCAGTGATTCATTTGCAGAGGTGGGTGGTGCCTAAAGACCATTCCAGGTTCTTTCTCTCTTCACATAGATGCATGCCCACCTCAGTTCCCTCTTTCCACCTCAAGCTACAGCCACCCTACAAAGGAATGAATACCTGTCTACCACCCCCCCCCCCGCCTTCCAACACTATAATCTGGGTCATTCCAGCTTCTAACGCAGTCATTTTGAAAACCTGAGGCTCTGGTAAAAAAGAAAAAAGAAAAGGAAAAAAAAAAAAAAGAGAAGAAGAAGAACCAGTTGTTGCCTTTGGTTGTTTTATTTCTTGTCCTCCCCACCCCAATATTAACCCTGTCTTTGCTCAGAAGTGGAGCATAGTATTGAATCAGGTACCTATATTAGGATTGGTGGTAAATTGGATTGTTTGTAATAGCCAAGGCAGGAGCCGAGATTTATTATGTTTTTTTACACAATCACTAATGTTTCTAGGCTTTTCCTTGCCACTGACATTGGTGATTCTACTGGTCTGGAAAACCATGAAGTGTGGTGGCAACGAATACCAGGGGCTCTGTAAGGAGAAAGAGTAGCGTGATCGAGACAACCCATAACATAAGCCAAACATATAAGCTGGCTTTTTCTGGACTGGAAATGACACAGTTTGAATCATCTCAGTAGTTTGAACTGCGGGCTAACTATGCATTCAAGGATCTTGTTATCTTATGCCTGCCTGGAAAAAGCAGTAACGCTTGGTGGTGACTATCCATCTTCGAAGTAGCCATTGCTGGAAACTGGTTTAGCCCCTTAAATCTTTTTTTTTTTTTTTTGTTGTTGTTGTTGTTTTGCCCTTTGTTACACACTTCCTATTTGTTACTGGAGTAGATTGTTACTGGAGTGATTATCTTAGGCTCCTGAAAAAGAAGGTTTATGGTGAATGGGGAGGAAGGAAGGCTGTTTTCTGAACATCTCTGAAGATGGAAAAGAAGGGGTTATTCCAGGGTTCCGCTTTTCATATGGATTATTTAGCTTTTTGTATTAACCACCCCCTCCACCAATCCAATGGCTCATTGCCTTCAAAAACATCTTAAATAATCACTGTGTTGTATGCACCTGAAAGTTCCTAAGCTGGCATTTTAATTTATGTACTTTAAAGATTTTCATATTCTTAAATATTTACCCAGAGTATTTTCAGTAATTTAAATAGGATTTAATGATCATTTCGTACTTTACAATAAAAGAATGAGATCTCTTCAGATGATAGGACGTTTTAAAGGTGTTTTTCTCAATGAGTCATAGTCCAAATGCTGTTTTTTAAAACTGTACCTTGAATGCTATTTATGAACAAAGCAGCTTTATTCACACGTCATCCATATGATGTACGCCACCCATTTAAAATATGCTATATAAATATATGTTTAACATATAAATAGTTTGCATTTTAGTGCATTTGTTATCATTTTAGTATATTCATAGATACAGCCATTACTACAGTCTATTTTCAATTATTTCATCATCTCTGAAAAGAAACCTCGTTCTATCCCTTTAGCTCCCATTTTCCCTCCCATTTGTTTCTCTCCTGGTGCTGATCCTGCTATAGATTTTATTAATATTAATTTCACATTCATGAGGTCATGTATTTGTCCTTTTGTGGCTGGTTGGTTTCAGTTAGCATGAGCTCTTTATGATTCATCCATGTTGTTAGTGTGTATCAGTGCTTCATTCAGTTTTATGGTCAAATTGAATTCCGTTTTGTGAATATGTTATATTTTATTTCTCCATTTGTCCATTGATGGATATTTGGGTTGATTGAGCCACTTAACTGTTATGGATGATGAGGTAATAATGACTTCTGTGCCATTTGTGTGTGTGTGTCCCTATATTTTCATTTTCCTTGGCTAAATACCTGGAGCTTTGTATAGAATTACTAAGTCATATGAATCCATGGATAATTGTTTGAAGAATGGCCATACTGTCTTTTGGAGCAAGTGTTCCATTTTATATTCTGTTCAACAGTAAGGGTTCCAGTTTCTCCATATGCTTGCCAGCATTTGTTACTATCTGGCCACTTAATTGTAGCTATCTTAATACCTGCACATTGTATATCTTCTTGTGATTCTGCTCTGAATTTTCTTTTTTTTTTCACTTTTTAAAATTTATTTATATTTTTATAAATTACAGTTTATTCACTTTGTATCCCCCTTCCAACCCTCCCAATTCCAGTCTCCCTCCCATCCCTCCCAATTCCACTCTTCCTCCCTCATCTCCTCCCATGCCCCTCCCCAAGTCCACTGATAGGGGAGGTCCTCCTCCCCTCCCATCTGACCCTAGACTATCAGGTCTCATCAGGACTGGCTGCAATGTTTTCCTCTGTGGCCTGGTAACTGAATTTTCTTAATAAATGCTGAATATTTTTAGATGCTTAATGGTTGTTGTTCATCTCTTGAAGAGATACATACTTGTATTCTTTGACCATTTTATTTGGTTTATTTATCTTTTTATTATTACATTATTAATCATTTATATATTCCAAGTACAGTCTCCCATCAATATGAAATTTTTGCATTTTTTCTTTTTTTGTGAGTTCTCTTCCACTTAGCTGTCTTTTGAACTATGAAAATTATACATATATATATAAAGTATAAATGTATTAACTTTTTGTTCATCGGATTATTCATGCTTTTGATTTCAAATGGAAGAATCCTTTGTGAAAGATCACAAGAATTAAAAACTGTAACAGTTATTTCTCAGTTGGGTAAATATAATTGATATATGACTATTTCTTGACTACTTAGCACATGCTTGGCACATGGTAAGTACTCATTTTTTTTTACGTTTCTGGAATTATCCCATGTAATATAAAAAATGATGACTTTGTACTCTTTTTAAGGGGAATGTGGAGTGATGATTAGTCAAAATGATTTCCATTGTATTCCTTGTGAGTTGTTTTAATTGGACTTCTTTTATTTTAATTTAAGCTTAGGATTAGAAGGTGTTTCACCCTAAAATGGTCATAGTAGCATTAACAAGTATTTTGGAGGCGGGCGTGGTGGTGTATGCCTGTAATTCCAGCACTTGGGGAGGCAGAGGCAGGTGGATCTCTGTGAGTTTGAGTCCAGCCTGGTCAGGAGTGAGTTCCAGGACAGCCAAGGCTACACAGAGAAACCCTGTCTTGAAAAAACAACAAAAAAGAAGTATTTTGACCTAAATCAAACCAGAAGACTACCATTATGAAAAAGAGATCATTGTTTTCATCTGTGTTCTTTTGTTTACAATCACTCTCCCTGGCTTCTATATTTCGCTAAAGCTCTGATTCTCCTTCATATTTGGCCATGTCTAAAGATTTATTGTTTTGTTACATCTGGGGTAGGTTCCCCTGGCATTTAGTGAGTAGAGACCACAGGTGTTGCTAGGCAGCCACCCGTTGATTCCTTGCCGGGGTTGAGCCCTGCCCAGTTTCTCACTCAAAAGGTTAATAGTACCACGAACATTTACTCAATTGGAACTGAAATTCTATGAAGAGGAGAGACTAATATGAAATTCACAGTATTTACCATACCACAGCATGTTCAGCACAATCATTTGCAAGGAGAAAAACACTCTCTATGGTGTCCCTTAATTGTTTATTTGAAGGTTAAATGTAAGTGACTCTTCACAGATTGTATTCTAATGGGTAGGATGGTTTTCCTTTCAGTTCAATGACATCATCTGATTGCTAAGTGAACATGTTCTTACTTTCCTTGACTTGTATGTTTTATTTTCAGGTTTGGAGTTAGAGGGAGAAACAAAAACAACAGTACTTTAAAGACTAGAAACAGTATTACATGGTACTTTACTTGGGAAATATTTACAGCCTTAATGAATGAATAAAAAGTGAAATTTATCAACTACTCCTGGCTTAGTTATTTAATACATTACAGCTGGAGGAAGCTTACCAAAGCTTTCAGTCTATCTATGCTGGGTTAAATGTGTTTTTCCAAGTCAGACATTGGTAGATGACTTGCTTACACAATAAAGATTGTTA